CAGAACCAAAGCTGCTCACGTGATTCAGGGCAAGAAGTCGTCCCCCTATTGGGATTTAGCTAGCCCAGCAGAAGGAACTCATCAGACCCTGAAGTTCTCTTTCCAGGGTTGGGGGTCCAGCAAGCCTTTTAAGGCTTGGTACCCACATGCTCAGTGCAAGGGAGCCTTACAATCTCACTAGGAGCACTTGGAAAAAAAGTGAAAACTTCCCAGCCTATCTCATTCCAAATCTCTCCCTCATGAGTCTGGGGTGGTTTGTTCCTTCCTGGGCCCCTGATGTAAAATTCCTTTTGTGGGTGAACTCAGCTCACTCTCCCCCACAGAACACATTGGCCTCTGTGGGAAGATTTAAAGACAGCTCATCTTGGGGGCCGGAGAGATAATACAGCAGGTAAGATACTTGCCTTGGGCGCAGTTGACCTGGGATCTATCCCCGGCATCCCATCCCCAGTACCCTGAGCACCATCAGAAATGATTCCTGAGAGCAGAGTCAGGGGTAACCTCAGATCACAGCCAGGTGTGGGTCCCCCAAAAAACAACTCCCAGAAAAAAGACAGTTTTGATGAGTTCGGAGGGGGGCACACCAGCGAACCAAGAACAAGGCTTCAGTGTCAAGAGAAGCTGGGTCATATTCTCAAGCACTGGAGGAGGAGTGGGGAGAGACAGAGAAGGCAAAGGCCAGGCCCAGAATGTCTGCAGGCACTGGGCCCGTGCCCACGTCTTTCCTGAGAAGTGCTGTGCCCAGAGGCACGCAGGTGGTGGGAGAGAGAGAAGTCGGGCATCCAGGCTTGCTAATACCAACCTGTTACCCACCACTGTGCCAAGCTCTGCCTTCTCTGAGTCACTGAACCAAAACCCCTACAGCTGGAAGATGTTTAGGGGCCCCCCCAGTTCCTTCCTGACCACCAGCCTTCAAGCTAGTCAACGCCCCAGCCAGGGATTATGTACTGGCCACCGGGCAGCACCAAAGCAAGGCTCAATCTGGGCCATGATATAAAATTTCAAACGGGATCGGACCACCGTCTCCTTCGTGCAAAATTCTACTTCACAGAGCGGGGAGAAAGGGCTGCAAAGTTCAAAAAGAGAACTCCCAGAATGACCACCAACTGGGAACTCTTTGGTACTATTGCGGCAACATGGGAAGATGCCATTGTTGACAACATTGACGAGGAATACGATCGACTGGTTCAGCACCTCCATGAATGTGCGAGGAACGCCAAGAGAGAGATAGCCACAAAAAATCGCCTATCTTCGAAAACTCTTGAGCTAATTCGCCAGCGTGGTTTGGCGCATGCCTCAGGCAACCGCAAGCTAACATCCGAGCTCGCAAAGCAGTGCAGAGATGCGATCAAGGAAGACCTCAAAGAGAGAAGAGCAGAAGTACTGGTAGATGCGGCAGAAGCCGGGAAAAGTATTCGTAACACCCGCCTGTCCTTCACCAACTACAAGACCAAGATGACTGCCCTCTGACGTCCTGATGGATCCATCACATCCTCCAGAACGGCAATGGAGAAGATTATCCATGACTTCTACTCAAATCTCTTCTATAGCCATGTCCACTTGCCGACATACCAAATTCCATAGGATGGATATGTCGTTACCAACGTTCTCCCTTCCGAAATCCGACATGCCATTTCGTCGGTAAAGAAACAAACAGCACCCGGCCCAGACAAGGTCAGACCTGAACACCTGAAGAACCTGCCGTCAGTACTCATCAATACACTGGCTTGGCTCTTCACTCGCTACCTGTCTGAATGCAAGGTTCCGTCCCAATGGAAAACCAGCAGGACCGTACTACTGTTCAAGAAGGGAGACATCCATGACATTGGCAACTATCGCCCGATCTGCCTATTGTCTGTCATCTACAAGTTCACTCAAGTCATCCTAAATAGGATTGGCAGAACACTAGATGAAGGACAACCATGCGAGCAAGCCGGGTTCCACAAAGGATTCAGCACCATCGACCATATCCACACGATAACCAAGCTCATTGAGGTTTCTCGGGAGTTCAAGATGCCGCTCTGTTTTATGTTCGTTGATTTAAAGAAGGCCTTTGATTCTGTTGAGACGGAAGCGGTCATTGAAGCCCTAGCCAATCAGGGCATTCAAGCCCAATACATCAGGATCCTCCGTGAGCTGTATTGCGGATTCACTACCAGGATCTCACCATTCTACAAAGAAGTGATCGTTGATGTCAAGAGAGGGGTGCGGCAGGGTGATACCATTTCACCAAAACTCTTCAGTGCCACCCTCGAGAACATCATGCGACGACTGGAATGGGAAGGAATGGGAGTGAAGATAGATGGTCGGCAACTACACCACCTCCGCTTTGCTGATGACATTGTTTTAATAACACCAAACATCAGCCAAGCGGCACAAATGCTGGCCGACTTTGACCGTGAGTGTGGAAAGGTAGGACTACAGCTGAATCTTACGAAGACAATGTTTATGAGAAACAGCCTCGTTCCTGACGCCCCATTCACTCTCAACGGAACGACCATCTTCGAATGCAACAGCTATGTGTACCTAGGTCGAGAGGTCAACATGACAAATGACCTGGCACCCGAGCTGCGCAGGAGGAAGAGAGTGGCTTGGAACGCCTTCAAGAACGTCAAAGAAATAGCTAAGAGGACGAAGAACCTCCGGCTCCGGGCACATCTCTTTGATTCCACTGTTCTTCCTGCATTAACATATGCCTCAGAGACCTGGGCCCTACGCAAACAAGATGAGAACGCTATTCAGGTCTCCCAAAGAAGAATAGAAAGAGCTATGCTTGGAATATCATGTTTCACTCAAATGAGAGAAAGAATCCGGAGTTCTGACATCCATCAATGATCAAGAATCAGGGACGCTGTCTCATTTGCCAAGGTGTCGAAAATCAGATGGGCTGGTCACGTAATGAGATTTAAAGACGACCGCTGGACTAGAGCTGTTACCGACTGGATTCCACGGTATGTCAAAAGACCGCGTGGCCGCCCACCAGATGGTCAGACTTCTTCGTCAAGATCATGAACGATCGGTTTGAGGCCCTTCATGTTCCCGGAGCGAACAGATGCCATTGGGCTACACTAGCACGTGACAGGGACAAATGGAGACGTTACTGGTGCCCGCTCGAGCAAATCGACAACTAACGGGAAGTTAAGTGATTAAGTGATTAAGTGATATAAAATGCTTTCGGGTACCATCCAGCTCCAAAGCTTGGCTTCATCTGGGCCATGACATCAAATGCTTCAGATGACACTATTGCACATAAGGTAGGAGGTAGGGACTGAAGGGAACTTCAGGCTCTGTGCTCAGTCATCTGAATTCAAATGTGAAAATGGGCAGTCAGGCAAAAGAGAATAATAGCCAAAGTGAGTGAAGTTGCTGCCTGCCTAAAGGATTGGTCCTCCCATAATCCCCCACCACCCCCCAGAAAACTCCAGAGAGATCTTTAGGGTGCAGAGATAGTCCCCCAGCTATCAAAGACTGTCTGAAAAATGGTCCTGGCCTTTGCTCAACCGTTTTGGGAGATATTGGTGCTCCTCAGGACAGCCTTGGATGAGGTCTGTATACCCCTCCCTTGAGCTCCATTGCTAACTTTTCTGTGGCTGGGCTCTGATGACAGTGCAATCCCCAGGGTGGCAATGCATCTTTTTGTTTTGTTTGGTTTTTGGACCACACCCAGTAATGCTCAGCGGTTACTCCTGGCTCTGCACTCAGGAATTATTCCTGATGGTACTCAAGGGACCATATGAGGTGTCCTGTACTATCTCTCCAGTCCCTATGATGCAGACTTAAAAAAAAATGCTGGATCAACCAGATAGTACAGGAGCTCAAGGTCTGTCTTGAGCTGTACATAGCAGAGCTAGGTTTAACCTCCCATATTACACAGGGTCCCCTGAGCACCAGGGCCAGGAATAAGCCCCTGATCACCGACGGTGTGATTTTTGGGGTGTGATTCCCCTGGAAAAAAATTAAAATAAGACTGGAGCCTTGTTACAAATAAAATACAGAAAGATCTCATTGTAAAAACACTGGCAAGGGGGCTGGAGCGATAGCACAGCGGGTAGGGCGTTTGCCTTGCAGGCAGCTGACCCGGGTTCGATTCCCAGCATCCCATACGGTCCCCTGAGCACCACCAGGAGTAATTCCTGAGTGCAGAGCCAGGAGTAACCCCTGAGCATCGCCGGGTGCGACCCAAACAGCAAAAAAAAAAAAAAAAAAAAAAAACCACTGGCAAATAAGACAAGCAAAAGTTAGAAAACTATCCATAGCCCTCGTCCCGTAGTTAAAAAAGCACTGTTGGCACTTCTGTAGAATTCAAACTCGAAGGTCCTTCATCTTCTCCCCCGCTCTGCAACCCGTGGGACCAGCGAGAAGACGCTTTGCGGGCTGCTCACACACGTGGCTGCTCAGCCACGACAGCAGCACGCTTCCACGGGACGTCGGTCCCCCCCGCGCAGGCCTAGGCACCCCGAGTTTCTCCAGGGCAGCACGACAACGGTCCTACTCGTCCCCGGAGACCACCCTCCGCCCCCAGGGCTGAACACCCAGCAATGCTCAATAAATAAAGTCTCCCGCATCCGAGCAGGACCCGACCCCGGGGCTACAGCGCCTTGCGGTCTCCAAGGCAACGACGTCAGACAGCACGCACGCGCACACTCGTCCTTCCTGATCAGCCCCTTCAAAAAAAAAAAAAAAAAGGTCCGGGCCGGAGCGAGCGCGCATGCGCAGTTCGTCCCCGCCCCGCCGCTGCGTCCTGTCAGCCTGTCCGGTCAGCGACCGCTTCCTCTAGACACACCATCCGGAAGTGATGCCCAATTCTGGAACTGAGTTCACCCGTTGACCAATCGCTATAGAGGGGAGAAAAAAATAACGCCCGGGCGCACCGCGTCATTGGTTAAGGCTGGAGGAGTGGGCGGGGCGGAGGGTGGAGGGCGTGGCCAGAGCAGGGAGGCGCGAAGCGAGACAAAGTTGCAGCCGCCGGGGGAGGCGTGGCTCCGGGGGCGGCCGGGCCGCGGGCGAGGGGGCGGGCCCGGGCCGGGGCGGGGCCTCGGCGGGCCCTGGGCGCCGCGACCCGCCGCCAGCCGCGGGAGAGAGCGCGCGGGCGTGGGGAGCGCGACGCTGTGGTTGGAAAGGTCGGCGCCCCGCCGGTAAGTGACGGGACCCCGGAGCGCGGGACGCGGTGGGGAGCGTCCAGGGTGGGTCGAGCGCCCGCCGGGCTGAGCTGAGGCCTTGGCGGCCCGTCTGCTGCGCGGCCGGCCGGGGCCCGGGGTTCGGGGCCGGGGTGCTCGCCGCGATCGCCGTGGACACGGCCCCGGGGTGCGCGCGAGGGCGCCCCGCTCCCACTCCCCCCGCACCCCGTGCTTCCGCGCGCAGCGGCCCCGCCGCCAGGTCGGTGCCCGGGGGTGGACGCTTCTGCACCGGCGCCCCGTCCCGCCGGCGACACCTTCGGGCCTTCTCTGGTGCGCGTGGCACACCCCGAGGCTGGGAGAAGGAGCGGAGCTGGCCCTGGGCACCGAAGGGCAGTGCTGGACACGCAGAGTCGTCCCGCCACCCACCCCCTAGCCCCCCAGGACTCATCCTGGGCTCGATACAATGTCCCCGTCTCGGAAGTTCTGCGGGGCTGCGCGCGTGTAGTGCCCAGGCACCCGCCAGAGAGGCCACCTGTCCAGCGCAGAGTCCCTGCCGCCCCGGCCTCCTGGGTGATGCATAACTTGAGAAACTGCACTGCTTCCCACTGGGATTTCATGTGTTGCCGCCAGACCCAAAGAGGGGCCCTGGGCAGTGAGGGGGGAGGAAGGCGGAGAGCAGGAAAGGCATAGAACCAAGTGCAGAGCTGGAGCCATAGTACAGCGGCTAGGGCGCTTGCCTTGCACGCGGGCGACCCGGGTTCGATTCCCGACATCCCGCGTGGTCTCCCCACATCCCCCCCAGCCTGCCAGTAGTGATTCCTGAGTGCAGAGCCAGGAGTATACTACCCCTGAGCATGGCCCCAAAACAAACAAACAAAAAGGTGGTGTAGTGGTGAACTGTGGACCGTGAATGTCAAGGACTTCAGGGCCTTAAAAGCAAGTGAAAGTGAATGATGGAGGGGGCGGGCCACTACAAAACTAGTAACTGAAGTTTGCTCCAGGGAAAAGGCTGAACCCAGAGCCAGAGAGAGCCAGAGAAATAGTACCGCAGGTAAATGCCTTTCACTTAGCTTGCACTTGGCTAACCTATGTTCAATCCCTGCACTGTACATGATCCCCTGAGCATTGCTAGTAAAGTGATAACTGAACAGCACTGGGTGTGGCCCAAAATACAAAACTTAAGAAAAGGTTGGACACCCCTCACACACACTAGAAATAGAGTCTGAATTAGGAGATAATAATTAACCACAGCCTGTATTTTTACAGTGTCTGCATGTTGGGCCCCAAGAGATAATAGTACAGCAGGTAAAGTGTTTGCCTCACCAGCCACTGACCCAGGTTCAATCCCTAACACCCATTAGACTTCCCCAAGCCCATTAGGAGTGATCCCTGAACACTGAATGAAGAGTAAACTCTGAACACCCCTAAACAAGAACAGAAAAAGTTCTGCACGGCTCTAACCTTTCATCCCTCAGAAGTCTGGGTGTAATACTGTTGGGGCAAGAGCAATGGTACAGTGGGGAGGATATTTGTCTTGCACACGGCCGACCGAGTTCGATCCCCAGCACTCCACATGGTCCCCCCCGAACCCCACCAGGAGTAATCCCTGAGTGCAGAGCCAGGATCAAGTCCTGATCATCGCCAGGTGTGGGAAAAAAAAAAAAGATTCTGTGCTAGTGTCCTATTTTATAATGGGGCTCTGAAGTTGGGATGGGGGGGAGGGAGCTCTCTCTCCCTGATGGCCCAGAGTTCAAACTGCGTAAGGAGCTGGCCTGGCCCATGGGAGTCTTCCTCGGGCTTCTGCGCTGGACCACCTCATAGGTCTTGGCTGCAGGAAGGTGTGTTTACACCTCGTGTGAGAGAGCAAGTGCTTGTCCTGCTCGGGGCACATTTGGATTTCCTCAGGACTTTTTCCTACTGGTGTGAAAGTCCATTCAGTAGTGCAAGGGGGTCAGACCTGAGCCGATCAGCCGCCTTGAGGACCTTCTACTCCTCCCTTTATTTTGAAGGGCGTGGTGAGCTTCTCAGAAAGTCTCAAAATAAAAGTAACAGTCGCTGGGTTTAATTTTAGAAAGAAGAACCCAGGTATCTGTTTCAGAGCTTCTGTGAAGTCAGACAGCAGTAGGTGGCCAAGCTCGCAGTCCTCTCTGGGCTGTTTGCAGACCGTAAGGAGCAGCTGGGAAGGGGGTTTTTGGCCCCTGGTCTTGTCTGTTAGAGCCTGTGGGAGCGGCCCCACGGCACAGACCCTGCCAAAGAGCCTTTGCTAGTCAACAGAAATGTCTGCTTGGCCCTCGTGCCTCAACAGATGGAGGTTTGGTTCCTCATTTTAGTTCTCCTGTTGAACACTGGTTTCTTTGTGATCGGCCTGGCGTGTTGGGCTGTCATCTGAGGGTGGAAGAAGCAGCTTTGCCCCTGACTGGTTGTCCAGCTCTAAACAACTATTGGTGATTTGGGGATGAGTGTGTGTGGGTGTGTGTGTGTGTGCGTGTGTGTGTGGGGAGGGGGTATTAATAGTCCATCTCTGGCTGGAATCTGGGGGAGACCTATAGAACTGAAGAAGTCAGCCGGGAGTGTTTTCATTGCTGGCCCCTTCTTCAGAGAGCTTGAGCATTTTGACCTGTGAAGTCACTTTGAATTTCCTCTTTTCTTTCCTGTTCCCGTGGCAGCGTGGCGAAGGGCTGACAGATTCGTGCGGGGCTTCTCTCTGGTTCCGAAACCATACGTCGCACTGCAGGCCTGAATCAAAAGGGGCCGCCGCATTGGTGCTTAAGGCTGCCACCATCACAGGCTTTTTTCTTTTTCCTGGCAAAAGGTTAAAATGCAACTAAAATTCTGCTTTCATGATTAATAAGTCACTACCGCAGTTGTGTCTGATGCTTCCTGTTTGCCCCATTTTAGTATTTCAGTTAAACTGGTAAACCTCGGAGCCATAGGGGCCCTTTTGGTGGCACCAGTGTGAACGTGGCAGGAAGGGGGGGGTAATGTCGTGACCCTGCATTTGGGGTGCTGTCGGGACAGGCCAGCCCCTCTGGCCTCTGCATACCTAGGGCCCCCGGGAGCAGAAGGCATGGGGTTGAGCATTGGGGGTGTTGCACTTGGGGAACTTGGCGCGGCTTGGGGGCTGGGGGATGGGTGCTGGGAAAGCGGCAGGCAGAAGCGCATGGCCGCGCGGGGGCCACTGAGACTCGAGCAGTGTTGGCCGAGGGTCTTCCCGTGTGACCTGGCCTTGGGTTTGAGTGACAGTGCAGAGAGAGTCATCGTTCCCTAGAGACTGAAAGATCCTCTTTCCTTGCTGTCCTACATCCTTTCACGCCTCACCTGCCTGGTCCAACTAAAAGATGTGCCGGCCGGTGGTCCTTTGCGGGCAGCTTTTGTGCCTTTTCACACAATTCCTCTACAGACAAGGACGCAGTCAGGAAAGTGGCGCCCCGAGAGAAAAACAGAAGGGATGAGAGCACTCAGAAATCCATGTCAGATCCAGAATTCCTTTTTTCTTTTTGATTGAGCGAGGATCCCGCCTCCCCAGCAGAGCTCAGGGACTCGGCCGCCCCTCCCAGGGATGCTCCGCTCAGCGGTGCTGGGGGCCCCAAGGCCAACCATGTGGTCTTGGCTATGGAACCCAGGAACTCAGCCTGTGAAACCCGTGTCCCAGAGCCCTTTGGGCTGACTCGGGTGCCTTGGAACTCTTGTTTCCTGGCTGCTAGTTCATTGTTTTCCTGCTAACTTCCCATGATAGGATAAGTCAGCTGTGTTTTTTTCCCCTCCGAAACATGTCCATTTTGAATGTAGTTATGCCAAGGGCGCTTCTTCCTCTGGGAGTGATTCGTGGGTATTAATAAGAGTGAGAAGTTATGGGTGTGTATTGATTCATCACAGGAATGAGAGACAAAGGGTCAAGTGATGGGTAGCATTGCCCTCTGGGTGCTCGTCCCCCTGACAGGTGCTAATGTGGAGGCAGAGATGACCAGGGGTTGCCCCGAGCAGAGATGCCCAGGGGTTGCCCTGAGCAGAGATGGTCAGGGGCTGCCCCAAGCACGGAGCCTCCGTCTCAAAGGAGGGGGCTCAGCCCTCTCGCCAGACAACAGGTCGTGTTCAGAGCTGCGACTCTCTGCCTTGGTGACCTCTGGCAGGTCACTTCTCCAAGCACCTGTGCCTTCTGGCGTGAGAAATCTTCGCTGGGTGGTTTGGAGTGGAAAAAGAGAGGTTGAAGTCGATGCTGAGCTCTAATGCCTGACCCCTGAGCGAGCGGCTGGGAGTGGCCTTGCTGAGTAATTGATGGTGGGGGGGTGGGGGTGGCGGGGAATTGCCAGTACCGCACTGCTCAGGCCTGTTTTCTGTAAGGATGTTGGGGTCAGGCCGCCTAGCCCGGGGGGGGGGGGGGGGGAGGCACCCGTCATTTTCTCAGGAGGCCCTCCAGGGCTCATAACAGCTGACTAGAGGTTTTAACTCTTGAGTTCTCCTTGTCCGATGATAAATGAGGCCCGCCTCACATCTGAATGAGTCTAAAATGCCTCCACCCAGAGACCCAGAATTGGTCCTTCTACACCAGGGGTCCCCATTGCCCTCCCAGCCCTCTGAGCTAGAGGAGAGCTGGTCTCTCTCCCTTCTGCACCTCCACCCCAGCCTCAGTGATGGAGGCAGGTCCCAGCCTTAACTCTGTAGGCGCTGAAAAGGGAAAATATTTGTAGACTAGAAGTCAACAAGGTGTCTGCCCTTTCTTGCTTGGTTCTGCCACATACGCTTCTCAGCTGAGGCAGTGTCTTTCCCTCTCATCCCCGAGTCTTCCTCAGCTTCTCCCCAGCCCCTGGGAGGGAGCCTGGATCTACACTCAGGTTCTTGCAGGTTTCCCTTTAAATCACCCCTGAGGGGGAACAAAAACAGTTTCATAATAGATTTTTAAATTCTTATTTCCCCTTCTTCGTACAAAACAAAAATATAGGCTCCCTCCCGGCTGACGGTTTCCTTTAAATAACATTTTGTTTTCTCTTGGGGAAGCTGTCTCGATGGCCTGAGAGTCA